TAAAAAAGAATAGGAAAAACAGTACGTTTGTTTAAATTCAAATATGGTTGTGTAAATTAATCAATGCATTTGTCCACCCTGTATCAATCCGATCCCTATAGTACCGCTCAGAAATGCATATCCTTAAGACAGAAGAGCGTAAGTCGTTGAGAGGGAGGGACGCAACCCGACCTTGAACCGATGCATTCATATCGAATTCGTTTTGTTAGTTGTTTCGGAAAGAAGTGCAAACCATGGTAATTCAATTAGCGGTACGTGTACCTAGTTTTACCTGAACCTTTAAATTTTTTTTTATTGTTTATTGCAAAAATTTAAATTTAGATAATTATTTGCACCTATGAGTTAAAGTTCATTCATCTTGCCAGGAATATCGAAGGAATAGTTGTTACTATTAATTCTCGTACTAGTATATTGTTTGTTTAATGCGCCACAACATTCCTTATTGTCTTCCAAAAAAAGAAAACAAATTTGGGTAGGATGAGAATGAAAAGGAATGGCCTTCCCGTCCCTTTACTACTTTGGTTAAATCATTCAATATAATTATTGAATTAAAGAGATAAGAATTATAATTTAATATATTCAAAACAAAAGTTTTTATTTAAATTTTTAGTTATTTAAAATTACTTTTTAATTCATGTTTTTAATCTTTTAGGGTTCTCGTGCAATTGATTTTCGCCCGTTATCCAGCTGTTTCTAACAGAAGGACGAGAATGTTCGATGAACATTCGAGATTATTCGGGTCGATTTTACCATTTATATAAAAGCGAATCGTTTCGGCGGCATTTCAGAGTATTCAAATACTACGACGAGTAAACAAGTGATATTAAAGTAGTCAAGTAAATTATTTGACAAAGTTTGTGAAAGTTTAGTGAAGTAAAAGTATTCCTGTGTGTAATTTCATCAAGAAAATGGTTAAAGTTCCAGCAATTGGTATTGATTTGGGCACCACATACTCCTGTGTTGGTGTGTGGCAGCATGGCAAAGTGGAAATAATCGCCAACGATCAAGGCAACAGAACAACACCCAGCTATGTTGCTTTCACAGACACAGAGCGTCTCTTGGGAGATGCTGCGAAGAATCAAGTAGCAATGAATCCCAATAACACAGTTTTCGATGCCAAGCGTCTCATAGGAAGAAAGTTTGATGATCCAAAAATCCAACAAGACATCCAACACTGGCCATTTAAAGTAGTCAATGATTGTAGCAAACCAAAAATTCAAGTTGAACACAAAGGTGAACGAAAAATATTTGCTCCAGAAGAAATCAGTTCAATGGTCCTTACCAAAATGAAAGAAACTGCAGAAGCTTATCTCGGAACCAGTGTGAAAGATGCCGTTATCACAGTTCCAGCCTATTTTAACGATTCACAAAGACAAGCCACTAAAGATGCAGGTGCCATAGCTGGTCTTAACGTTTTAAGAATTATCAATGAACCAACAGCAGCAGCCTTGGCCTACGGTCTTGATAAGAATCTGAAAGGTGAAAAGAATGTCCTCATATTCGATCTGGGAGGAGGTACCTTCGATGTTTCCATTTTGACAATAGATGAGGGTTCATTATTTGAAGTAAAATCCACAGCTGGTGACACTCACCTTGGCGGTGAAGACTTCGACAACAGGTTAGTCAATCATTTTGCTGATGAATTCAAGAGAAAATTTAAGAAAGACCTGAAAAATAACCCAAGAGCACTTCGCCGGTTAAGAACAGCCGCAGAAAGAGCGAAACGTACCTTATCATCCAGTTCCGAAGCCACTATAGAAATAGATGCTCTTTTTGAAGGTATCGATTTCTATACCAAAATCAGCAGAGCAAGATTTGAAGAACTATGTTCAGATCTCTTCAGAGGGACACTACATCCTGTTGAAAAAGCCCTGAATGATGCTAAATTAGATAAAGGACAAATCCACGACATTGTCCTAGTTGGTGGGTCTACACGTATTCCCAAGATCCAACAACTTCTTCAAAATTACTTCAGTGGCAAACCATTGAATCTTTCCATTAACCCAGATGAAGCAGTAGCATATGGAGCAGCTGTCCAAGCAGCAGTATTAAGTGGCGAGACTGATTCGAAGATCCAAGATGTCCTACTAGTTGATGTAGCACCATTGTCATTGGGTATAGAAACTGCAGGAGGAGTTATGACCAATATAATTTCAAGAAATTCAAGAATTCCCTGCAAACAAACCCAGACATTTACAACTTATGCTGACAATCAACCAGCTGTTACTATTCAGGTATTTGAAGGTGAAAGAGCTATGACAAAAGATAACAATCGTCTGGGAACATTTGATCTCACTGGTATTCCTCCTGCACCTCGTGGAGTTCCAAAAATTGAAGTTACTTTCGACTTGGATGCCAATGGTATACTCAACGTTTCTGCCAAAGATACAAGTTCTGGTAACACTCGCAACATTACGATCAAGAATGACAAAGGGCGGTTGTCACAACAAGAAATTAACAGAATGTTATCAGAAGCTGAAAAATATAAGGATGAAGACGAACGACAGAAAGAGAAAATTGCAGCAAGAAACCAGCTTGAGGGTTATGTATTCCAACTAAAACAAGCTGTACAGGATTGTGGAGACAAATTATCATTTGAAGACAAGTCAGCTGTCGAGAGAGAATGCGAGAGTTGTCTGAAATGGTTAGATAACAACACTTTAGCCGATAAAGAAGAATATGAAGACAAACAGAAGGAGTTGACTAGAGTATGCAGCCCCATCATGACAAAATTGTACCAAGGAAGTCAAAATAATAATCAATATAGTGGAGCAATGCCAGGTGGCTGTGGACAACAATATGGAGGATTTGGAGGAAGACAGAATGGTCCTACAGTAGAAGAAGTTGATTAATATTTTTCTGGTTATTAATCTTCAAGTTCTCATATTGTGATATTTGTTTTGTTTTGTAAGACTGAATTTAGCATTTAGTATTTTTATTGTTAACTATAGATGATAATAAATGATTATATTTAATTGGTCTTTTATTTATATAGAAAACTTGAAACTACAATGAAGTAAAAACTTCTAGGGTAATTGGTACATGTTTAATAAAACATTCAATTAAAAATCAAAATGGATTACAAAAGTTTAAATTGTTCAGAACAAACTTTTTCGGTCTTATCAGACCATCTTCAGTGAATTTTGAAGTACTTTCTAAATAACCTCATCACCAAGCAGTGGATGTGTTAAAAATTCTATATTAGATATTTAAAAAAAGTAGTATCGGTTGGCTGGTGTCTGCAGACCAACCCAGATGTAGATGTAGTTGCGAGTAGTGACATGTAATTTAAACACATTCACTGCTTGGTGATTTAGCAAGTACTTCAAAGTTCACTGAAGATGGTCTAATAACACTGATAACGTTGATTCTAAACAATTGTAATGCATTTGAATTTTAAATTTAATATAATTACCCAGAGATTTTTGTTTTAATAGACTTGAAAGAGGAGCTTGTTGAACTTTGATGCATTATTTCATTTTAAGGTGGTACGAATATATAGATATTTGGATGCATATAAATGGCCGTAGGTGGGTTATGTTTACTGGAAGTTGCACATTACTTTTATACAGGTTTTCATAAAATGTTGCTGAAAGTGCTTTATTTTTAATACATTCAAACAGGATGTGATTAATATCAAATTGGTATATATTATTATATGAGCACTTTTCTAATTCTATAATGTTTAATCTAGCCAGGTGAGCAGCACCGTGACTAGTTTTTAATCTTGTGATAGTTGCTTCTGAACGTTTGGATATGTTATAATGGAATATGTGTGGCAATTCTGTTAGGGATGATAACGTAGCATGAATCTTACTTGTTCAATGACTCTTACTTGTTCAATTTTACATTTAATCTCAAGATTCGGATTCAGTCAGTTATTTATCAAGCAATTCAGGTACTTTATTTTATTTACTTGTTCCAAGATTTTACTAATCGATATCATAATAAATTGGAACATTCTGAGATCGAGAAAAGTTCATCACTTTGGTATTATCACTTTTTATTTTTATGGTAAATTTTTTTATAGAAAAAATATGTCTGCCGATAAGCGTTTGAAGCTCTAAGCCTGAGTCTGCCACCACATGTTCCCACTAATGGCTTTAAAGAATGGAGATGTCAAATTTGATTCCAGCGTTGAAAATTGTTTACCCTCTAATAAACTTAAAGCTGAGGATTGTTCGGAAGCTACTGTGGCATATTAATACAACTTACTATTTTTATTGGAAATACGCCACAAGTTGACTTTAAAATAAGTTTGTTTTGACGTTTCGATTTCCGTTTTCAAAATCGTTTTCAAAATACAAAATATTAACAAATTAAAAAAAAACATAAATTTTGTTTCATTTATTAAAGCAAAATCGAGGCTTATTCCCAATAAAAATGGTAAATTAAACCTTCGGAATAAGAATAGTTTTATTAGAATCTATGGCCAAAAAACTCTAAGTAAATGTTGTTTATATAGCAGAGTCATATTAAAAAAAGCCATAAAACAAGAAATGATAAATATTACAGTCCATTACCGCTGAGCGCTGCGACCTCTAAAAGTCATATTTGGAACTCCAAAATAATTTTGATAAATTTGTCTTTGACAACTTAGTTACGATTTTTTCCTGGTACTCTGTTTTCTGTAATTCTGTCTGCTCTGTTCCCAAGAGATAGCCGCTGGTCAACGTTGTTGAGACACACTATATGCACATTTTACTTAAAAATATATCACCACTGTATTCTTGAACTCAAATTATAAGCCAAATTGTCAAACGATTACCGCGTTGTTGCCTACCAAACAATAATAGTAAAAGCGTAGGACATAGATAATACTAAATGTGTAAAATAATAATTGCCTCTTTTTGAAGAGGTTCTTTTATATATGCATTGACTAAGATCTTTTAAACAAAACTAATCAAAACGTAAAGAAGTTTTTAGTAGGTTAGAGTATCGTGTAGGGAGTAGGCTTTTCTTATCTTACAAAAAAAAATCAAATTTAAAAATAAACAAACCTAGTAACTTTTTTCACAAATGAATTACTTAATTTATCACAAGTTGGTGGCGAAATGTCTTTCTTTTTTACTTCATTTTCACTAATGTTCGTAGGAGAACTTTGAAGCCTCTCATCTGAAAAATAAATCAAATATGAAAAAACCTAATAGGGATAAAATATACTCAGGTTTGTAAAAAAACTACCGTTTTAAAATATTAACAAATTTTGATCTCAAATTTTCATTATTTTTTTATGACTAGTAAAAGGAATTATCGCAGATTATCTAACAGGCTATTATCCAGACATTATTCAGATTTATATAAAAAAAAAATAGGATGAAGTAGAAACTTCTGATGTTATATTTGTTAATTACTATTTAACTGGGAATAAACCACAATTAAAGATAAAAATACGTTTATTGACGTTTCAATTTCCACTTCGGAAATCGTTCTCAAAATACAAACAGTAAATTAAACAAATTTTGTTTTTTGTTACATAGTGAAAAATTCTTCTAATAATTTAATTTTATCTGATTCATTTATTTTGGCAATTCAGACATACATTATGCATTTTAAAGTAGACGACTTTAAAATTATATTGCCAATATAGTTGAGTTGCGCTCCTGCGACGACTTTACTTATAAGATAGTTCATTCGATTACATGAAATCAACTTTAACTTGAGAATATCCGTCAGAAAAAATCATAGCATGTAATTCGTCTTTAAAAAGACAAACACATGCCATGATGACAGTAAAATTCTCCTGTTAGTGATTCCATAGTAAATTATGAGGGAAAAACCAGGAAAAAACCTCATAATACTATCCCAACATGGTAAGTATTTGGTCGTGCATTTAGTTTATCTCCAATAAACACCAAACTCTGATTTTATATGCTTGTTATTTAAAAAACATAAATGATGTATCTTCTATATGTTACTGACTTACTAATACTGGTATTTATTAATAACTTCCTCTTTCAATATGGGTAACCACATTCTGCCGAGGAATTTGCGACACAATTGGTCTCATTTAGCATAATTAGAGCTGATTATTTGATTTTTCTTTTTTTTTACCATCCCTTTCTTTTAGGACTACATTTGAATTATTCCATTGAATCCTATGTTCATTATCCCATGCGTGTTTACATATTTGAGATCTATCAAATTCTCTATTTTTAATATAAAATTGATGTTCACTTATTCTAACATTTAATGGCTTTGATGTTTCACCTAAATAAAACTGATCGCATTCACAAGGTATTTTATAAATGCAATTCTTTGTCCTTTCTTGTTCATTGTGAGGTTTGGTTTTGGACAAAATAGATCTCAACGTGTTTGTTGTTTTGAATGTTGTTGAAATGTTGAATTTATTTCCTATCCTTTTAAGTTTTTCTGATAATCCTTTTACGTACGGTATTTTTATTTTCCTCGTATTATTCCTTTCTTCCTACAAAAGAAAACAGAAAGCCGAAAACCTTGGATGACTCAACAAATACTGGAAATCATGGAACAAAAGAAGAGAATATAGAAACTAAAACCCCAATAAGTATAGAGAAAAACATCAATTAATATAATTAACAACAAAATAAAAGAGCCTAAGGAAAACTGGATGATGAAAACATGAATCGAAGTGGAAGAATTGCAGAAAAAGCATGATCATTATAATTTACATAAAAAAGTGAAAGAATAATTTGGAAAATCACGAACAAATACACCTAACCGATTAATTGACCTATAATAAGATTGACCAACAATAGACCTATTAATAACCCAATTCAAATAAAACAAGTATGGACTAAATATATTGAAGATTTTTTCATTCAAATGTCAACCTCACCTTCACGTTGCGGAAGCGTTATCACAAACGAGGCTCTGGCGACCGAGTATAGGTGGTATAACCTTCGTTGTTCCCCAGTATCTCTATCTTCTGAGACTTGTCTGGAGCTACTGTCGGCAGCCTTGGCACCAGATTCGGGTGCGGAAGGCTAATAACCTACCCATTTAATTTGTTTTTATTACTAAAACATTGGAGCAGAAAACCCAGACTGGTCAAATATTGACGACATTTCCAACGCATAAAAATCGACACGATTTTGTTGCTGGAATGTTAAGACTTTTTATGAGATTTCTAAGTTAGCTCAAGCAGTAAAACAATTAAATCGATATAAACTAAGCTTTGTTGAACTATCGAAAGTAAGATAGTTGAACAATGGCGAACACCACATCAAAGAGGAGAACTACTATTACATAGTGACAAAGACAATCAGTCACGAGAGAAGGGTAAATCTCCTACTTAACAAGCGAGCCAAAGAAAGCTTCATTTCATGGAAACTTCTAAATCACATACCGTAAGATAAGAGTGATTCAATATTATGCTCTACTGCAGTGCCTAGTGAACAGGGTAGTGTCTGGGGGCTCAGATGTCCGAAGAAGACATCATAGAGGATGCCGAAAGCTCGGTGCTGTGAAAATCGACGCGGTTCAACCCTGGCAAGTTTAATACAGTAGCTCTTTATTGGCGGGGTAAATGTTCCGTAAATATGCCGCGATTGCATGAACCGTGAATATGAAATAGTAGTTTATATGGGGTTTATATTTATTGAAGAGATATATTTTGAAATGTGCGGTATTTATTGAAATTATAAATCTTGAACAATCCGCACTGTAACAAGGTAGAATATGATAGATACTCTCTTTTAGATGTTAGTTTGGGTGTGCAAATAATCCAAGGTATATATCAAGTAAATAAAGATCCAATCTTGGTCTATTTTTTATGCATAAAGAAATTGTGATGTCAGAAATTAAATTAGAAATGGATTTAAAGAATTTAAGGTATCCTAATGATAGAAACGTGGTTTTTTTTTTTCGTATAATATGTATAAACGCGACCTTAATTCAAAATTTGAAAGAGATTAATTAATCTGGGAAGATTTTCCTACTCTTTTATGAAAATGAAATGAAAAATATATTTAAGATCAAAAGTTGCGATTTTATAGCGATCGTTTTTTACACACGTGAGTGTATATGATCAACTTTTTCTGTTTTTTGAATTTTCAGAAATATTCTCTTAACATGATTTGTGTGTAAATGGCAAACAAATAATATAATCACTCAGTATAACTTACTTGTTTCCTTAACAGGAAGAACTTCAGATCTATTCAAATTAAATTCATTTTCCAAATTTTCGGCTCTATTCAAAAATGATTCATCATTCATTTGGATGTCCTCATCCACGAGCGAATCATTAGCTTGGTTTTGCACAGTTGCATTATCATCTTTCTTTTGAACTTTTTCAAAAAATTTCTCTAACTTTTGCTCGTTGGCGTCAGTCCGAACCATGAAGCTTGGATGTATCGTTTTTGTTTGGGCGCCAGTTTTGTCTTTTTCATGCACTGATGTTATTTCAAATATGTTTGGTAGTTTAGCCTAAAATTAAAAATATAAATAAATAATGTTGTTACATTTTTCTGTGGATTCATGGATTAAGTGAAGCAAATGTGGATTAGCTAACTTCATTTTAACTCCAAAAATAAACTCACTAAATGATAAATATCAAATTCTACATTACATTAATTGGTATCGCTTTCAATTCACACAGGTTCACTTATAAAATACTTTGCTAATACTAATAATCAAAGGTCACCTCAGCAGGCTTATAGAGTAAGGGCATTTATTCTTATTATATAAGAGGGAACATGGAACATCCGAATGAAAAGAGTATTCTCGGCTTCGCCAAAGTACAGGACCGAAATTAGGGGGAACACAACAATATTCTGTTCATAAATTTCCTTTCCGATAATAGCTATACACTCAATTTGCCTAATTATGTCTTAGTCTTAATTTTATAGTTATATTTTATGGTCTATTTTCCAAGAATGATTTCAAATAATGAATAATAATTTCTCATTTTATACTGTTAATACTTCATACCAAAATGTCAGATAAATGATTCAAGTTTAGTTAATTTATACTTACTTGGGTGTAAAAAGTCCTGGAATTATTAGACCCTAAAAGTTTAGTTTCTACAGCAGTGGCGATACATTCAACTATTTGATCCTCATTTAAAAAGTGAACTTCATGTTTAGTAGGATGCACATTTACATCGATATTTGTTGGATTCAATTCTAGACTCATATAAACAAATGGATGAGTGTTCTTGGGTAGATAAGTGGTATATACTTGATCAATTGCCTTTTTCAAGCCTAAAATAATGTTAATAAATAAAATTATTTAGGTATCTGTTCAAAAATTATGGTTACTTTGACAGTCTACTAATCGATGGTTGATAAACAATAGAAACTGAAACTTCTTAGGAGAATAATTTACATTTGAAATATATCCTTTTACACTAAACTGGAATTGTTGGTTTTCCAAAGAAAATTCTAATAATTCTTTTGCTATTCCATTTCCATAGAGAATTCTGATGTTGTCAACTGTAGTTGAATTCTGAGGTGTCCGAATATCATTGCCTTCATTTGATTTCTTCAGTGCAAAACCTAAAACAATTACAGGTAAATTCCATTGGCTACTTAAAATCAAATAGTTAATTGCAGCTCGAATAGCTTGTTAGTAATTTCCCTTGTGAAGCAAAGAATGAGCAATACATACCCAAAAAATTATGGGATATAAGCCTAATAAATGCAATCTAGTTAAACTTGGAATAAAGCACATTAAAAAATACATAAAAAAATAGGAATACAAGAATAACTAAATAGATAGGAATCTACAAGATGTGGAGCGGTGACGCAACAAATCAACAATTTTACTTAAAGAGACAGAACAGGTAATAGGAGAACAGAAAAAACATCGCAACTGCACAGAGTGGTTTGGCGTAGAATGTATAGGTTCAACTCAGAAAGCAGATTGACTATAAAATAGAAGGACAAAGCAAATAAAGTATAATAATGAACACAAATAACAGGGAAAATTACATAAAAAAAGATAACAATAAAACTGTGCAAAAGAAGGAAACGAGTAGTATTTGATCTAAAGATTTATTTATTTAGCGTATGGCATACTATAAGAACACATAATTGAATAATACAAATAAAATTCTCAATAAAACACTTAAGTGTAGAAAGCATTAAGTGGAGTATGTATCAATTTAATGTAAAAATTTTTGGTCGCCTTTGGGAACTCATCAAAAACTCAGTCTGTAATTGTTAACCACAGTCACACTCAGGAGCAAGGGCTTTTCCCTATCTATGTAATCTGTCAGCACATCTATGCTGTTCATTCTTATTCTGTTCAGTGCTGTCCATGTATTACAGGACAGTTCAAAGTCTGGTGGTTTCTGATCAATACAGGCCATTTGATGTACTTCCTGTGTTAAGTTGATCTCTCAGTGTCTTCTCCAGACATTGATTAGACTGAAATATTTCTTATGTAAGGAGGTGGTCTATAACAATGGATGATATCTTAAGTGCAGTCTATTCATTTCGAGATCAAGCTGGACATGGTGGATGCATCATTGATAGTTAGTTAAATGTTTCTGTATTCTCAAAGAAGATAATGACTTCAGTATATGACTGTAGTTTCAGCAATGGAATGTTGGAATGGAAACACTTGTTTCTAAAAAAAAATACTAAAGAATGTATTACCTATTGGAGCATTATGAACAGCATATTTAGTAACAACATCAGCTATCTTCTGGTATTCTTCAGCAGGAGATCTCAAAGCTTTTTTCCTTACATTCATATTATAAAACAAATCTTCTACGGTGATTATTGTGCCTTGATTTCCTGCTAAGGGTTTTGGAGTCCCTTGTAATTTACTATCAATATATTTGGCCCTAGAATATGCGTGTAACAATATAATAAATTACTAGTACAGATTTTGTAAAGACAAAAAGTTTTTATAAGATAAATGAAACTGAAATAAGACAAAATTATAAGAATATTTTATGTAAATAAATAAATTAAATTTTGCATTACATTTCTAAAAATTAATACTCTTTTCTAAACTATCAATTTTTCTCTAGATAAATAGGAATATTCCAATACGTAGATATATCATATGATATTACTACTTGCTCCTAAGCTTTTTATTTTTTATTTATTTTTTATAAAATGTAGGTAAATGTTTTAAATAATAATAAATTAAATAAAAATCAAATAAAAATATTTTGAAAATATTCAATATTCAAAATACTCAATAAATTCAATAAAAAGTCTATGTACTTAGTTGTTTGTTCACTTTTTCTTGAAAAACCTAAGGACTTGTGAAATCTGCATAATTGAGAAATAGGAACACATATTATATTTTATTTTAAGATGCTGGATCTAGGATAATATACTCAAAACTTAAAATGTTGAACATATGAAAGTATAAATGGAAAATGGAAGTCTTGTGTCTTGTAATAGACATAATTTCCAATTAAGAAATGTACATCACTACAGTTGTACTTACTGGTAGGCACACACATCATCTTTGGTTTTTGATGTAATAGAAAGATGAGCAATATGGGAAATGCTTGCCAAAGCTTCTCCACGAAAACCATATGTGGCAATCTTATGTAAATCTTCAAATTCCCTTAATTTAGAAGTTGTGAATCTCTCACAAACTATTTCAAAATCGTCCTTTCTAATCCCAGTGCCATTATCTTGTATCTATAAACAAATTAAATAAGAGTATGGCTTAATACATTAGGAAAAAATGTAACCTTACTTGTAAGAATTTAAGCCCACCATTCTTAACTGTAATTTGGATATTTGTGGATTTGGCATCGATGCTGGAAACATACAAATTCAATGTTAATAAGGCTTTTAATGTACCAAACGTACATAATACCTGTTTTCTATTAATTCTTTCAAAGCATTTGCAGGACGTTGTATTATTTCACCTGCAGCTATTCTATTTATTACATCTTCATTTAACTTTCTTATTTGAGGAGGCTCCATGACTTTTTGTTCAATTTCCAACTGAACCTGTTCATTGAAGAATTATTTGTGTACATACAAATTTTTTTTAAAATAATTTTAAAAATAAAAGTACGTAGTGAAGATAGCTATAATAAAACTTTTGGTAAATGGTAAATAAATAAAAGATGTTCTATGATAATTTTACTTAATTTACCTAACCCTACTTTTATACGTCAATATTGATATTGAGATTATTCTAAATATGAAGGGGGGCAATATTTAGGAGTAGTTAAATTAAAATGTAATGAATTGTACAATAAACATCAAAATATGAGTGAAGTTGATGTATTTATTAGTAACTATACTTTAGTTGACCCAGAAATTTATGAATTGTGGGTAGATGGGCACACTGGTTAGTAATTTAGTTAGTTGAAGTAAATACTTTTCTTGATGATTTTTTTTGTAGCTAGTGAAGCAGTGTCAATGCTAAATATTAAAGGATTAGGTCAACAAACTGGTGCTTCTCTAGAACTGATTGCAAGTGATGTATTGGATCATTACAGAACTTATTCACTTCTAGAAAAACTTTTAAGCTTTCCAAGTAAACTTCAAGAACAGTTTATATTTCAGATTGACCCGCAAACTCGACTTTTTCTTATTGAAAAGTAATAGAGATTTATATTGTAAATATATGATTAAACAAAACGGTTAATTTTAGGTATTATGAATTTGATGATGAGGTAGTACGGGAAGTATTGGGTAAAAAGTTGTCATCAAAAAATAGGAAAGATTTAGATGAAGTTGCTGAAAAAACTGGAAAACCTTTGAAGTCTTGCAGGTAGGTTATAACAAATAAAATTCTATATACTTACTTAAATCTACTATTTTAGAAGACAATTTGACAATGTGAAGAGAATATTCAAAGCAGTTGAAGAACAGCCTGGTATAACAACAGAGAATATTAAAAGTACATTTTGCCTCTCCGAAGATCTAGCAAAAAAGTACACTTGTATAGTATTTACAGCATGCATGCGATTTGAAACATCAAAGAAGAAAGTTCAGCAAATGTCTTTTAATAATTTTAAGATATGTTGTGAAGCAATGATAGAAAACTGGACTTATCACTTAATTGGTAACAAACTTTACATCATTATTAAAATATGTGTAATAATGTGTTTAGACACAGCTGTACATATTGGTACTATTTCTTTTGTAGGTACTGAATATAATGATTTAGAAATGGATAGAGAATTTTTATTTGAGCTAAGAGATTTAAAAGTTTTAATGGATAAAGAAAGAGAACATAAACAGTAAGTTATTTTTTCAAGTTGTTTATCAAAAAGGCAATAACACCAATAGTTCATCTAAAGAACCTTTTAAACAAATTTTTTTTAATCTATATGGCTTTTGTCTAATATAGATAAGGACAGCTTTCTTGTTTATTAATATTATGAAGTTAGCGGTGAATCTTTGACAGTTTTGTCAGAAATTCATGGGTCATAGGCGTAGGTAGCAGTTTTACAATAAATTTTTATGGTAATTGATATAATATTTATACTTTTTACTACTTACTACTGCTAATTTAGCAATTTGCTAATACTGCAATTTGGATAATACTTATATTATTCTTAAAATTTATTTTGGTCTATTCTAATATCCTCATTAACTGTTCGGCCAATGTGGCTGTGGCTGTTTGTAATTTGGTCTAGTTATAAGAAAGTAGAAGAAAGAGACATTTTATTCCTTAAAATGTATAATTTCCCGCGTTAATTTATTGTAGATTGTTAAGAAAAATAAACATCTTTTATAAGTAGTTACTATGCAGTCATTTTTAAAGTCTGGAAAATTAGGAGAGCCTGCCTCCAAAAGTGGAACATCAAAGGCTGTTAAAAAACCAAAAGCAGTACCATGGGTAGAAAAATATAGACCAAAAACAGTAGCTGATGTAGTTGAACAAAGTGAGGCAGTTGCAGTTCTTGAACAATGTATATCAGGTGCAGATTTACCGAATTTACTTTTCTATGGACCTCCGGGTACTGGTAAAACAAGTACGATTTTAGCAGCAGCAAGACAACTCTTTGGTGACATCTATAAAGAAAGGATCCTGGAACTAAATGCTTCTGATGAAAGAGGTATTCAGGTTATTAGAGATAAAGTAAAAACATTTGCCCAATTAACTGCTAGTGGAACCAGACCAGATGGTAAACCATGTCCACCATTTAAAATAGTGATATTAGATGAAGCAGATTCAATGACACATGCTGCTCAAGCTGCCCTACGTAGAACTATTGAGAAAGAGACAAAAACCACAAGATTTTGTTTAATTTGTAATTATGTGTCCAGAATAATAGAACCGTTAACATCTAGATGTACAAAATTTAGGTTTAAGCCACTTAACGAAAGCATGATATTTGAAAGATTATCTTTTATTTGTAAAGAAGAGGGAGTTCCATGTGATGACGAGGCTTTAAATGGTCTTGTAGAAGCTAGTGGGGGAGATATGAGAAGAGCTATTACATGTCTGCAGAGTTGTGCTAAACTGAAGGGTACACAAGAAAAAATAGATGTTGACAGCGTACTTGAAGTTACAGGAGTTGTACCCACTAAATGGCTTGATGAATTTTTATCTGTTTGCAAGAATTTGGTAGACTATAATAATGTGGAAAATTTTATACAAAAATTGATGTTGGAAGCTTATGCAGCATCACAAATTTTGGACCAACTTAATGAAAAACTTGTTAACAGTGATGAGTTTAATGATAAGCAGAAAGCTCTTATAGGAGAAAAGCTGGGATCTGTTAGTTTTCGCTTACAAGATGGTGGTTCTGAATATATTCAGTTACTTGATCTGGGAAATACAATTATTAAAGCTTATACTATGTAAATTATTTTTTTAATACATACTTTTTCTACATTACTTTTTCTATTAATTTTCAAATTTTTAACCCTTTGCCCTTCACAACAACTTAGGAATCAAGGCAATTATTTAGGTGATGATTTAAAATTTATTGGATTTAGAGGATGGAGAAGAATTGCCAGAGACAGGGGTGAATGGAGGATTGTTAAGAGAGCTTTGGCTCATAATGAGCTGTGATGTCACTGATGATGATGATTGTAATTCTTAATTAAATCTTAATTTTTTCCCTATGAACTTTTATATACAATATATTTTATATTAGAATATTTAATGACATCATATAGAGAAAAATCCTTATAAATTACATAGATTTCCCAGGTTCATCAGTTCACTTACACTTTTAAAAACTAAACTGTTTATGAATTATGGTTCATTTAAAACATATTCAACTGATTCCTCACATCTGATAAGAAAGTTACATCATGAAGCCATTTTTTGTTTTTATCTCAGTATTGTCACCTCATTAATGTAGAATGACTCAAAAAGTAGTTTGACTTAAATATTTTAATAAAAAATACTTGCTATATATTTGTACTGTTGAGTATTATTATTGCTACATATAATTTTTAGCTTGGTACTAGTCCACCTAAAGCCAAAATTATTGCAAAAAAGTTATGCAGACTTGGAGTCTAATTTTAAACTATACAACAGAGCTCTCTTAACCTTAGCCACAACACTCCATAGGTCCAGGGACATGAAGAACTTTTTTGTAGATTTATCCCAAATTGTAGAATACTTTAAACAGAGTTTGTGGTCATCTCACGATTTTGAGCAGTTTTTAATAGCTTATGGGCAAATAGCTGGAGATATTGATCCCCTCAGGTAAGAATGTTACATTATTTTAAATTTTAAAACTTGTTTATTTTTAAAATGCATTTATCCTATCAACTGTCTTCCTTTGCCACACATGCATACCTATGTTTTTCATGCCTTCTAATAGTGTTTTCAAGGAATATTGTTCTGTTATCAATCACTCATGCTCAATGGGTTTATCAAGAACCTTTTTTCTTACATGTTGTTCCCTCCATCACCATTGTCAACTGGCTGTTCATTAACTAGTGCTACATATACCCCTCATATACATGTATGTTTGTTTTAAAAGATTTGGACAATTCCCCTTGATGCATACTTTTTCCATATTACACTTAATTTTTAAGGACTAGTTTTGTTACAATTACCAATTGATTTGTTATTCCTAGGACGAGTATATATGCCATATTCCAGTGTTTTTTTAACTTTGTCTCAGGACAGAGATCGGATGAATTGTCAATTTACCACCTATAAAGCTAGCCTGATATTTTCATATTATTTTTTCTGCATATTGTGCCATATGCTGGTGAATATTTAACATGCTGTCCTTAGAAGCGTAATGTCTCTGTGATTAGAGCACTTGAAGGTATATTCTTTGTTTTGAATGGGCAGTCTTCCAATCTGAGTCATTTGTCTCTGGCTAATTTAAGAACTGCCTCCTGCTATAAGTTTAAAGTTTGTGTCATAACTGTCACATATTTCTTTACTTAACTGTAACATTTAAGTACTTTTTTTTTTCAACTTGATCAATCACATCATTACTTTTTTTCCAAAACTTATATGGAATGGAATTTTGCAACATTTTGTTAATGTGCATGTGACACACTGCTTAAGATACAACCTCCTTCCAAAACAAACAGCGGTAATTGGGGCAAGGCTCTAGATAGGCAAGCCAATGTTCAGATATCTACATTAAAAGTGGACTGACCTTGAGGTGTACTCGATAAAACTTGCTGACCTGTGGTGATACCATGATTTTAAAAACATATCTCATTTTATATTCAGTTAAATAAAATATTTATCTGTACTAATATATATAGGTAAAGTGACAGCTAATTTGAATTTATTATATGCTCAAAAACTTTTGAAGCAATGAGGTGTTTATATTTATTTTGTGTATTATTTTCTTATATTTGTTACCAAAATTTATTTTATTCCAATATTTAATTATTTTTAAATGAAATGACATAAATAGTGAAATACAGAGATATTTTAAGAATTATACTCACATTTTAGCTATTTTCTATAAATGTATTAGTTATCTATTTGCGTAAGTTATAATTTTTATACCAACACGTTTCTTTGTTTTAGGACCAATTCGGCTCTAAAAGCTAGCTGGGAGAAGTTCTTGAAAGTTGTAACAAAGTGTTTATTAATTATGTATAGCTAATCGTAGTTGTTGCTAATGCATTGTAAGATTTAAAAACCTAAAACCACAATAAAATTGTACATATTTATTATTTGTAAATTCAATTTGCCAATACAGTTTCAGCTTAGCTGCTGTAATCTTTATTCCAATAGCTCTACTGAGTACTGATAGCTAAACTGAGTAGACATATAAACAAGAATAACGAAAAACTTTATTTGGTATAAATAAAATGAATCACTGTGGGTTTGTGGTATATACATACCAAAGATTTTTTGCTGATATTAGAATATTTGATAAATTCAATTTTTTGTCTGGATTGTGCCATATGCTAAAATTCCAGATATATTTAAATACGCAAGTTGATTTGATGTCTAATTAAACTTAACATTGTTTATTTATTTGAGAAAAAGAATAATCATAAAATCAAATACGCATATAAAGTTGAAAGTCTTATACAGGGTGGTGAATCGGCAAACGGGCCATAGGAAACTCAATGGTAAATTCTAAATTGTTGAATTCCTGCTTCCCTAATTATTTTACACCAAAAGTCATGGGAAACTATTTGTAGAGGACTCAAATATGTATCGAAAACAACTGTTAAAATTATTCTACGACTTAAACGTATTCCAAAATTTTGCTAAAATATAATACATTTTTCTGTGAAAAAATGTGTATTACGTGTTGCGTTTTGTCACATTATTGTTTCTGATATTTGACAATATTTAAATCAATTATATTATATTTATCTATGATTTAAATGGCCAAAATTTTGTGATTTATTGTTTAAAAAAATTAAGTTGATTAAAAAGTGTACTCAGTTAAGGAGAAAAAAGCAATAATAAAAATGTTTTATTTATGTTTTATTATAACATTAATGTTATAGTTTTATGTTTAGAAATAATCATATATTATTATTAGGAATAAAGATCACAGTAACAGTATATTGGAATTCATTGAATTGTTGTATAACTTAACATGGAATTAAATTTTAGTGAATTAGAATATCTTAGTTAAATAAAGATCCGGTAGTGACAGGAAAAGGTTCGCGCTATTGCCTGAATACAACATTATGCGATTTTTCGTCAACTGAGTACATTTCATTATATTGATCGATTTGTAAACAATATAATTTATTGTTCACAAAGTAATAATGTTCAGTAGTAGTAGTATTTAGTAAAATTCATTGTTTATAATTTAATTATAAAATAAAAAAATTGACAATTCAAATTGTCAAACATCTGACATTAATATGATAAAACACAAACGTCCTAATATATATTCTTGCATTACGTGTGGCCTAACTTTTAGGGGTGGTCTGAAAAATATATCACATTTTTTCAAAATTTTGAAGTACATTTGATTCGTAGAACGGTTTTAACATCTGTTTTTAATTCAGATTTTAGTCCTCTACAAATAGTTTTTTATGACTTTTGATCTAAAATAATTAGGGAAGCAGCAATTCAACAATTTAAAATTTCTCATTGAGTTTCCTATGGCCCGTTTGACGATTCACCACCCGGTATAAGTGTTTTTTCACTTTCAATGAGAGGGTTGACATAGTCTTTTTTTGACAAGTTTTTCAATATTGGATTGAACTGTCAAAGCACACCTCAAGTCACTTTCAACGTCCAGCCTTGAACAGTATTTTGATTTTATAAACGCCAATGCAGAAAAACCAGATTCACAAAGATTTGTGGATGAAAACTGGACAAATAACTTCGCAGATACTAAAGCCACTTCTGGGTAAACAGGAAAGTAGGTAAACCAAAATTCTTCCAAGTCCATGTTTGCAAAATCTGCTTTTGCTTGTGAATCACATTTTAGGTCAATTGCCTGCTCTTGAAGGTTAACTGGAAGAATGTCAACTTCGATATGAAAAGGATCTCTTGTCAACTTAAATTCCCAGTTTTCCAAGCTAACATCTGGAAAGTCCTTTCGAATTTGATTTTTCAGTTCTTACAAATGCCGTGATATGACGTCTTTCAAATCCAAAACTAGATGTAGTGGAAGGGTTTGAATATTATCGAGGAGGTCGTTCAGTTTAGGAAAATAGGAAAAGTTTGGCTTGGAACTGTGAAGGCGGCGTTGCTAAAGCGATATTTTTTCTATAAACCCCTTAATTGCATCATAAGTGTTTAAGAGGTTTTTACGGCCTTGAAGCTTCAGAATCAGGACATTAAGTGTCTCAAAAAAGTCAGACAAGTAAACCAAAAGATATTTTTATCATATGTAAAGATCTTATTGTTTGGAACTCATTAACAAAATTTCAACTTCTGACTTTAAATTGTGTAATTTTGCAAGCATATTTCCTTTGGATAACCACCGGATTTCTGTGAGAAATAGGAGGGTTTCCTGATCACTATACAGTTCTTGATATTTGATGTGATTAACTATTTTAATTGCTAAGTTTAATGTGACGTTGAGAGGTTCAGGTAAAGTCTGACTAGCTAAAGCTTGTCTGTGAATAATGCACTGAGAACCAATTATCTTAGGGTTCTCCTTTTTTGCCAATTCCATAAATCCAGATCGACATCCTGTCATGGCTTGGGCCCCATCAGTACATATGCTAATTACTTTCTCCCATGGAAGTTCATTGATTACTAAAAAATTTCAAAGAGAAGAAAATGTCAATGGCTTTAGTTATTGTTAGTAAGAGATGGTGAAAATAATATTTCCCCCAGGAACCATTTTCTGTCAATAAATCAACAGTAAACCAATAACTGTGCATGCTTTGAAATATCAGTTGTTTCGTCACACTGCAAAGAAAAAAAACGGTGAACCTTTTAATTTTTGCAATAGTTGATTTTTCAAATCCAGAGCCGTGTCATCAATTCTACGTTTTACTGTGTCTTTTGAGAGAGGAATTTTTTCTACTTTCTTACAACTATCTTCACTAAGTACGGTACTACAAGCATTAAGTAAACAAGGTTTAATTAGTGACTCACCAATAGTATGTGGTTTCTTGTCTTTAACTCTCAAAAGTGCTTTCTCATTTTCAACACCAAAATTTGCAATAGTGTCAAGTTTCATACGTTTTAGGCTGCTTTTTATGGCAATAAAAATTCTGGGCCTTTATCTTTCAAAGAAAAATGTTTTGTAATTAGATGCCGTTCCAAACGTGTGGGGCATATTGCATCATTACTAAGAACAGCATGGCAGTTGACACACTGAGGTAAATGACTGCCGTTTTTCTCCATAAAGGTAAAACCCTACTTGATATAATCGTCTGAATACAATCTTTTCTTTGGAAGTGACTTAGCCATTTTCAAAGCTGTTACACAACACTATTAAATAATTCACAAACAATAACTCTACTATTAAATAACGATTACACTGATTGCTACAAACAGCACACAGAGGCTGTCGACTGACGGCTGAGACGGAATCACTGAACTGGAGCCAGGAGTGCTTGTAACACAGTGTTGGTAAATATACTTTGCACTCCTACGATATTGAAATACACAAGACCGTCGTCTTTAACTCAGGTTGTGTGTTTGAGTAAAACGATTGTAATCACGTTTAAATAAAGAAATATTTCTAAACAAAATAAAATACGAAATACAAAATATTTTGTTTCTAACAAAATATATATTTTTTAATTTTAATTTTTTTTTCTTTGTACCCTGACGCCTCCCCTGAGATTCTCTCACGCCCCACAGGTTGAGAACCACTGTTCTACAGAATAGTGAAGAAGAGAAACTTTTGAAATATTACTGACAAAAATTAGTCCAATAATTTCGATTAAATTTCGTAGGGCATTTAATTAAAAAAAACTGCTCGATATCCGCCATTTATTTGATTAAAGTTGATTTATTCGAGCATTCAACCAATTATCACTAAATAATAAAAAACGCTCAAACATTTATCCACTTCTTAAAACGCTTACGAAAGCGATTTTGATCCACTGTCTTATTAAAACGTTTAAAAAATTCACAATCTCATCACAAAATCATTCATCATCACAAAAATTCAATGGTCAAAGTATGTTCCTTAAAAAAAAGATTGCATAATTATAACAGAATATTGGCTGTTCACTACACGAAAAGGACAATCGGGAGATATAATAATAAAAAAGTCTTTTGCAAACAAATTTTATTTTGAGTTAGTGCTTTGAACATTTTTTTCATAATATAAAGCTTTATTAAAGTATATTACATCATATTTTGTTCGATTTAGATTCATAATTTTCCATTACGTGCTTGATTTGTCTAGATCTTGGTAACAATTTGTATAAATCTCTATCTACTTGGTATACTATGAAGCTTTAGTATTTTTTTCGAGGTAGGAGACAAAATAATTAAACATTTATTAAAAGTTTAAAACTGGACAAAAATGCCTTTTAAAAAATGAGCATTATTTGTTGCTAAATCCAAATTAACAATTTTATCTAAAATATCAACAGTTTGGTAATAAATAAGTACATTATATTATTTGACCTACAACGCTCTAAACGATTTTTAAACTGCTAAAGTGCACAAAGCAAATCAATATGCGAAACATCCCTTAAAAATACTCTAGACACATTTCCTTTCTATAGCATAAGCGAAACCCTTTAAAGATATATAAACATTAAACAGACGTACCTTTAACTGGGGATATAAAACTTTAAAATAATAACGTATTTGTCATAATCTCATTTAAATTTTACTCAATTTGTATGTACAATTTCTCACAAAATCAACGAAATTCTCTTTATATTATACTATTTGTGGTACGATGTGTAGTTTCAAATTAATTTTAACATCATATCGTTTATATGGCAAATAAAATGCAAACTTGCAAGTTTTGTAAGAAATACAACACACTTTATTAATGACGTGCGCGAAATGACGTACTTTCGCATCTGTTACCGGTCTCCTCTCCTCTGATCGACGAAACGATCCACAGCTCAGTCTTGCTTCACTTCAGTATTTGATAGGTATCAGTTACACTGCTACCTGTTATCCGTTATTTAGACAGATTGTAGAAATTTCTTTTAATAAATCTTTCGAAACCACGAGCAAATTAATTTTTTTTTGTTTGGTAGCTCAACAAAGATTTTAATTAATTTAAAAGGGCTTAAAAATCTCTACTTATCATTTTATAAGTAATTTTAACAATTGTGAAATAAAAAAATGAGAGAAGAAAGTGATGTTTAGTGATGAAAGCATTTATGGTGTGATTAACATTGTAGCGACTTCTTTTATTCAGTCTTTAATAGACAGAAGAGATATATTAACATTTTTTTTTGTTTTGGTAATAAGTCTCGTTTGACATTTATTGAATAGAGAAAAAATGATTACATGTTCAAAAGCAGGGGAGTTGTGTAAGAACTATCAACAGTGCGATATTTCAATACTAGAAAAAAGTGATGTTTAGTGATGAAAGCATCCATAACTTAATCTCTGTTATATAAAGATTTCTTTTATTCAGTTTTTCACAAAAAACGAGATATTTTTGCATTTTTTTCTTTGTTTTGGTAACAAGCATTCTAACATCTAACAGACTAAAAAATTATTATTTGTCCAAAAATAGATGAGTCTACTCTTTGTGAAATCAATAAAAAATGGTAAGTTCTATAAGAAAAGTCAACACTGGCCACTTCAACAGTGGAAAAAGTGACGGAAGCATTCATGACTTGATCAGCCTAAATGTTTTTTTTTATTTGGTAGTTAATAATCAAGAAGGACCAATGTACATTTTTTATTTTGCATCGGTAGCTCACATTTGACTGTCTATTCTAAAATTCCAAGGAGGAAAAATGGATTGTGTTAGACTACACGCCACTTATAAGTATACATAAGTTTGAGACAGATTACGAAAATCTAGAAGAATTCCGAATCTTGAAAACAATGTACTATTCCAAAAGATCGACCGCTAAAGACTACCACGAAAAAATACCAGTTCTGTAGAAAATACCAACCATGAAAGCGTTTGTGATTTTATTGGCCTTGCAAAGATTTTTTTATCTGATTTTCCTAGTCAAGACAGAGAAATTTACTTTTTTTTTGGTGTGATATCTCGATATGTTTTAGGAGCATTACTAATTGCAAATAAATTTTCGACTTGGTAAGTCGAAACGTTTAATAAAAATGACTGAAAACGTGTATATTAACTAAGGTTGAGTTTACCGAAAGTACAAGCTAATTATAGCCGCAAATGTCAAACATGAAACAAAAAATTTCGGTATAGCAGTGTTGGCATGTTTTTATAATGTAGATGCTCTATGCTTCAAATATAAAAATATAAAGCTTTATATGTTATGCATTCTGCAATTTTTGATTTATATAAAACAACACTGAGTAAATATTTGTTTCTTTTAGAGATTAATTGCAGTTAATTATTAGAAATGTTTTTAGCAATTACCCTTTGGTAGATTAGGGGATAGATTTGACAATCGTCAAATTAGCAGTTGCCAGATTACAACAGATGTTTGCAATTAATCTCGAAAGAGACAAATATCTACCCGTTACTGCTTCATATAAATTAAAAACTGCAGAATTCATAAAATCGTATAATCAAAGTGTACTTTTTAAAAGCTTTATCTCCTTTATATTTGAAGCACAATATATGCATTATAAAAACCTGCCAACACTGCCAAGCCGAAATATTTTTGACATTTGAGGCTATATTCAGCTTGTACTTTCGGTAAACTCAACCTTAACTAATTTTAAAATATTTCACTATAAAAAATTTGTTAAGGAAGTTGCGACTAGTTTTTTAAATTTTGTCTTGTATATCAATGAACAAAAATGACAAATTGATTAACATAAGCGAATTTTAAATTATTTCACACAATGTATTGAAACCATTATTTAGTTAAAAAATCTCATTTTAGTGATGTTTAATTATTTCGGATTAAAGGCGCATTTTTTTTAAATCGATACAAACGCCGACATGCGATATAGTTTAGAATCTACTGTAACAGTATATCTGTCACGGTGGAAATTTATCAACGGCAGAAAATTTTATGTTTAGAAATATATGAGCCTTTTTACATTTTGATTATAGTTATAATAAAGACAGGCTTCCTAAAAGATTGAGTAACTAATTGCAATTTCCTTTGCTCAAATTACATAATACAAATACTTTTATGCAAAAAGACACTCCCCTTAAATTGATGATCATACATCTTTTGATTTCATATGTAATTAAGTTGCAAAAAACTATTAAACTTTTGTATATAACGAATATATATATATATATATATATATATATATATATATATATATATATAAATATAAATAACGAAAAAATATAAATAACGAATTTTGTATATTTCGTTAGACGATCTTGAAAAGATTATCCTTGAAGAATTCAAGTATTTGTACATTAGTTTTAAAAAGTATCTTCCCGCCAAATGGTAGTTTCCACAATCGCAAACGAATGAACACAATGTTTTTCTTTATTTTTAAAGAATTTAATTTTTAGTTAACAATTATATAATAATTAAATCTCAAGTCACATGATAAGGAATACCATTATCGCTCTCAGCGACTACGTTGTATGTGGTTCAGCTAACGTTATACTAATTTCCGTATAACTACTTCGAAATTTGGAGATTAAAGATTAAAACATCTTTGAAAACAATTTTAAGAAGTTTTTTGGCACTATGGAAATCAGATTTATTAAGGCAAATAGTTTAAACAACTTTGTATACTTTATGTCTAACCTAAAACTTCCCATTATCATCTTTGAAAAATAAATGCTTTTAATATAAAAATAAACAAATAATATTGAATCTTAGATCAAAATCATCTTCACAAAAATACATTTTAGGCTGTACACAATCTGCTGGGTATATGCAGGCCAGATAAAGACACATTTTAATATTACTTTTATAACGTGGAACATAAAAAAAATATTTTTAACGTGTATGTTTTACTGGGAGCACGTGCATAATGAAGACACACTTATAGAACTTACAATTCATCTTTTATAACAAAATTTACAAAAAAGTTTATATCACCTTATTAACTGTTTGCCAGTGTTAAGAATATGTGATGTCACAGCGGTCACGTGGTTTATTGGCGTTCTAGAGCAAAATTTTAAACTGGATCACTACCACTACAGATTTTGGTCGTTTCAATATATGTTTTACACACCCTCAGTCTAAAAAATAATTACTAAAAAAACTTTACTGACATTAAGGGACTGTGTCCATTATTTTTTGCATATTATGTATTTGTTTAGCTATACAGAGCTAAGATTAAGAGAATAGTAAAAAGAGAAGAAAGTAAAAAAGTTAACACAGAAATTATCTTTTTTTCGAATATTTTTTATGATTCTAGAATATTTTTAAAATATAACTATTTTTTTAACAATGCGGATGGTTCACATTTTAATTTGCATTGCCAAACTTGTACCTTGAAAATAGACTAGATAAATATATAAAACAAAAAACAAAATAAGTACATTTTCTCCGATCCTATAATTCTATTAACAATATATAAATAAATAGTAAAAATAAAAAGGCAACATATACAGAGCAATCCATTTAATTTTTCGTGAATACCAATTCTAGAGTACATCTAGAATCTATATACTCTCAATTAATAATTTGTAGTGTAAAATATTATGTAAATTGATTAGAATATACAGAGATTGGTGACAAAGTAAAAAAAGTAATATTCTGAGGATATAAGGATACAAAGAACTCTGGAATTTATGAAAGAGATTGTAAAGATTGTAAATACATTTGAACAATACCACAAACAACGATGTGATATATTTTTGTCTTAAAATTCTTACAAATGTCCAAAAAATATTAGCACTTATCTTGAATGAAGGCTAATGGCACACAATATCGTCCTACTAAGCAAGATAACAAGGAGACATTCCTGTATGAGTATGCATCTATGCAATGATGATGTTCTAATAAGATCATATAATTGTAGCCACTCTTCCTAGGGAGTTCCACTCTTCCTGAGGGGAGTCAGATCATCCACCACACAATCGGTACGTATTTGAATCTTCTCGTTTTTACGTTAATACGAAATGTATAACAAAATTATCTGATAATCGTTCATAACTTCAGGCCAAGACGGATCAGCGCTCTCTTTACAAGCGTAATCAGTAACTTGAATTTGCTGCGTATGTTACCAAACATATGCATGTTACCATGCAATAGCATGTTTTTGTTTACGTTGATTTTTTTGTTTATCGCTGAAAATGGCGAAGATATGCGATCAACAAATTTGCAGAAGTTTTTCTTTGAACTATAAAATGCAAAAGTCATTGGGAGATGAATGTATGAACAAAACATGATTAAAATAATGTCTGTTAACAGTGACCATGTTCTGGTCGACTTTCCAACAAAACAACACCGGAAGATATAAAATTTAAGAAACTTTTGGTTAAACAAATCGCTCTGGAAAATTCAGACGAAATATGCTTAAAGAGATCATTAACGGTGACGATTCGTGGGTTTACTGTCACGATTCCAAAAGTCTTCACAACGGAAGTTTCTATCTGGGCGACCTTTTTGATTTTTTTTTAGATTATGAAAATTTTGTGCACCATGAATACGCTGCAAGAGGTCAGAACATAAACAACGAGTTTTAAAGATAAAGTAGTGACAACAAAATTGTTCCATTTTTGAACGAGTGGCGACTAATTGGTTTATCACGATTATACGCCAGCGCATTCCTCGAACGTTGTGCAACAGTTTTTGGGAAAACAAAAGGTTACACAACTCCATCAGTCTTCATACAGTCCAGACATGGCGACCTGCGACTTTAACGTGTTTCCAAAACTGAAAAATGCCTTGAAAGGGGCAAGGTTTCGACATCATAGTGACAATTCATTCATATGTGACATGAAGGCCATTGGAAAAACTTAATTTCCGAACAACTCGATAAGAGCGTGTTGAAAAATCGAATGAGGATTACTTCGAAGGATAAAATGAACTGGATGACCAACAATTATAAGTATTACGGAGTTATGAACGAAAGTCGAATACTTTTGGGACTTTTATAACAGCGTTTAGACATCACGAAAATATTCACATATCTTTTTTTTTTTCGCTAGACTTGATTTGTGAATTAAAATCATCGCTTAAATAATTCAGTTCTAAAAGTAAATGTGGGCAATTTAAATTGTAAAAATTGAATATTTACATTTTTTCAAAGTGAAATGAAAATATGAATGGATTGGTCTGTAATAATCCAAAATTCTGTATCTTGTAGAAACGTATATGTGATAAAATTACATTGTGATTATAAAATGGACAGAAATTACGACTTTTCCAGTAAAAACAAAACACTATCGTTTCATTTTGACTCTACGGTAAAGCATAATGACGTGTTATTATTTATGTGGTGGCAGTTTTGACTACTAGCGGTAAAAAGTAGCAACATAGTCAATTTTGATTTAAGTCAAAATGAAACGATCTGCATAAAGTAATCTTCATTTTTCCAAGATTACTTTTCGCTCTAGCGTATTCAACACCTTGTATACGTAAATCTCGGAAAACCATATCCTTGAAATCTAATTGTTAGTACCCTGCATCTGTTAACGTTAATACAAGATACATACGTAGCGAGAGACTTGTAAAGAGTCCTAAGGAAAAATCACCAGGTTTCGGACAACATAGTACAATTTATATAAAACAAAATTTTAAATACATAAAATATACAAGGAGAAATATAAATAAATCTATTTGAGTGTATATAAATAAATTTTGCAAAACCAAATAAAGCATTGGTTTAAAAATATTTCATTATAAAACTAAAACGTTATTGACTTAAAGGTGGGATTTTGCACCCTCCTGCTCATAGAAGAGGACGTAAGCTTCCCCACTAACTAGTGATTTCGAAGATATTGAAGACACCCTGCAAATTAGAAAAAAAAATTAATATAAATATAACAATCGAGTTATTAAAATCTAATGTAAGGCAAATGGTGTTCAAATGGTGTAGTGATGGGCAATATCGGATACGGTGTCCCGCTAGTGTTACTTAGCCCCTCCTATTCAATTTAGACCTATCTCTTAAGATAATAAACTGAAAAACTCAGTAAACTTGTGGAAAACGAAGGAAAAGAAAGGGGATATACAAGTAAAAAAGATAACTGAGAAAAATAGCTGACAGACCTAAATAGAGAAATGGAATACAGAAGATTTTATAGAAAACTAAATTACAAGAACAAAACAAGCCAAACAAGTCGATCTAGAGACAAACGGAACTCTTAATAAATCAAGAAAAATATTATAAAACCGTGGGTGGAACATTTTAAATCTGTAAGGTAAGAGAAACAGCATCTTAAGAAATATTAATATATCTTAATAATATATAAGGTTCTTGAACTCATAAGTGGAGCATAGAGCTTCAGTGAAAACGCGCAATCGGGTTCTATTTTGCGCTAAAGCTTTCACCTCATTCCAAGACTTTCCTTGACCTCTTAGCTCGTCTATGATAGATCTTCTCCCAGTTTGTATTGGGCGACCTCTTTTTCTTCTTCCTTGAGGATTCCACTTTAGGGCAATCTTTGCAACACTGGAATTATTTTTTCTGGAGTTTTTTGACCAATCCAACCCCACTTTCTGAACTTTATTTGATGTTCTTCCCTTTTTTTTGTTCGGTCAGGTATAGTAGATCTTCGTTTCTGATGATGTTAGGCCATAAAATGCGAATTATTCGTCATAGACATTTATTAATAAAGACCTGCAGTTTATCTGTAAGGGATTTTGTCACTTTCCAGGATTCACATCCGTAGAGTAGAACATACATGACATTTGACTGGAATTCGCGGATCTTTGTCCTAGTAGTATACTCGACAGATCTCCAAACAGGGTTGCGAATGCTGAATGCTCGTTGAGCTTTTCGTATCCTCATACGAATATCGTCCTCTGTACCTCCGCTTTCTGTTGATACTTCCAAGATATGTAAAGTTTTCCACATTTTCAATCTGCATGTTGTTGATAGTAAATAGCGTGTTGTTTCTTGCATTTACTCTCATGGATTTGGTTTTACTAATATTGATTTTCAAATCTACTATATTAGCATCAATGAAAAGTGTTTCTAATTGATCAGCCCCATCCTGGAACGTTTGTCCTAACAGGCAGATATTGTCGGCGTATTCCAGATCGCTTAGACGTGTGGTTAACGTCCATTGTATCCCTCTTGTGTTGGAGTCTAGTTTGGAGAGAACATAGTTTACTGCTATGTTAAAAAGAAACGGAGAAAGCACACATCCCTGTCTGACTCCAGTAAGTATGTCAAAAAACATGTATAGAGGTGTGTTGCATTCAACCGAGTGTTCCATTTAACCATGGCTAACATTTTAAGTGTTGATACAGCAACACTGGCGCAGCTTATTGTATCAACTCAGTGTGTCAACACTATTGTGTCATATAACACAGTAAGCCATTGACAGTACTTGAAAGTTTGAAACCTTCCCTAATGCGTATGGTGTCAATAGAGAGTTATTGCAAACACAGATTTTATTCTTTTATTTTGACGAATGACACTAAATATTTTTGTATATATTAAAATATTCTATACACTATAAATTGTATTTGTTACCTAAATAAAAATTAAAATAAGATAATTGAAAAAAATAAAACGTTGAATTTAATTATCCTCATTTAAAGAATAGGTACCATAACCCATAATACTCGTACAATATGAAAGTGCAATTATTAGAAGTAGCTATTTTAGGAGTTGTTAAATACTTTTGCATATTATGGGTATATAAAATAGGGAATTTATGGACAATGGATTATTAGGAAATAATGAATATCCAGTTGTCAACTACCATTGTAGAATCTTCACACAGCAATTCGAAGTGCTGTATAATCTATCAAAAATTGCGTCAAGAATTGTGAATCACAGAGCTTTTGGTATTTTAAAGAGATTTGTCATTTTAACATGTGGAATGAAATGTAAGTTATCTTTTGTTCAAAGGATAATACCTAACAGGTTATTCAGTTTTACATAACATTGTAGTCAATAGAGAAAACATGGAAATACTGGCAAATGAGGGTGCTGTTGAATTTGAGTGTAGCAGTTTTCATTTAAGAATTTCAAAAATTTAACCTTTGTTTTATTGTGTTAACCTGTTTATATCTTTAATCCTTTATGTTGAATATCTGTTAAATGGAATACCTAACTACTCTATTCCACAATATCTGAAGCATATTTGTGCATAAAAATTTATTGAAATTAGATATACCTTAAACATCTGTAATGAAAAAGTCAAATATATTAAATTTAATAAATGAGTTACAAAGATGTCTGATCTGTGATTATTAAACACTTTAAAATTATTTAGTAATTACTTATATTTAAATTTATTTTTACAAACGTTTGTAATATCTTAAACTTCAATAAACATGTTCTTTTTAAAATTGATTTCGATCAATTCAAGTGAGTGGCCCATAAAAAATAATCTAAATAAAGAGACTGGTTATGTCCTTACAAAACGACAATATTTTGCTAAACCATCGAAATAAGGACAGATATTGTAAAAACAGATGAAGAAGCTGTAACATCTGTTTTGCATTTGCTTAAGAGTTGTGCGAGACTCTGACCGAGAGTTGATCTTTTCACGAATAAAACCTTTTTGAGAACAAAGGACACAAAGCAAAGGAACACACTGTCTCTTTTTGTTGTATCTTGTATCAAATCGCACTATTGCAGTGAATTGCATTACTCGGGAACACTCGGGGTGTTATGACGGTGTTACTGTGTCATGACACTTTATTGTCGCGGTGTCAATACACATGACGCACCGTAAAGTATCAGCGCAAAAGTGTCATACCACACAGTGTTACACATGACTAGTTCCATTATTACCCTCACAGTATTAATGTTGTCTATGCAGGAGGATTCTGGTCTAAAGCCTGCTTGACTAGCTCGAAATTCAATCTTGTTTGTTAATATTTAAGTATGATGGTCGTGTAGATTTTATTTATTACAGTAAGCAAGGTTATTCATCTCCAATGTTTGCACAGAGTGAGGTTGCCCTTTTTTGGAAGCTTAATAATGTACCCCTTGGTTTGTTTCCCACACCTCTCGGATTATGGGAGCAAAAGTTCAGCAGTTAGATGCAGATCAGTTTTAAGTATTTCGGCAGCAATGTTATCGATTTCCGGAGACTTGTCATTTCTCAGAGATTTGATAGCTGTTATCTCCGTTTTGGAAGGGGCCTCGCAACATCTTTTACCAGTGAAGTAAACACTCCTACGCGCATTAATAATAAACTTCTCAACAATATCACAAAGAACGAAAAGTAAACAGTTACAGGCGCCAACGCTCACGAATTAGTTGTTTATCTGTGTAAAGCTCAGAGCACAGAATATATAAAGAAGTTTGTAAGTATTTTGAAATTCCTATTACGCATGTACGAACTCACGAGTTCTCTTCAAATTCCAAGGATAGGTTGAACGAATTCTCAACTACAGACTAAGTTACCGCAAACAACATGATTTCGGACTAGCAGTCGCTCTCAGCACAGAACTTGATCACCGCGAACGCTCATTTTTACACTGCGCATGCGAAGTAATCCTGAACGCGTCCAGGATTCGTACCGCGAACGAAACTAATATATCATTATGTCCCAAAGACTTTTTTAATGGAGGGAGGGGTTGATTTTACTAGCAGTTATTAACGAAATACAATGAAATTTATAGCAAAAGAGCATGTTAATAAAACTTACCTCGAGTCATTGTATTCGTGCCAGTGTCCCGTGTAGGGATGTCGGCAATAGGCTGTGTAGTGCCCGCTATAGGTGGTGCCGCTGTGATTCGATATCGCATATAAATTGTACCTACAAGGAGAAACGTTATCTGCTGCATATTGACTCATGTCTAGTCCCTCCATTGGAAAATCTACTGTTACATTTAATTTGCCTCTAAATCTCTCTGTGGGAGAGAACCTTTTCAGGTGAATGACCAATATTTTTGGAAATTTGTGTATGGAGAAGGATTTAGTGCAGCGTCGTCTTTCTTTACATTTTGAACACGTCGGTTTTTCATCACCATCCAAAGTTTCTTCTCGAGTGAACGAATCAAGACATTGGGACAATCGCAACTGGCCCGTTCGCTGTGGTATAGGAAGAGAGAGATCCCAAAATGGATCAAAAGTTACTGAACAGTGTCCGCAGTGTGTGCATTTCAGTGTTGACTTAAGCTGACCTACAAAATGATCTACTATTCTCGAGTTATCCATTCTTAAATATCTTGTCCACGATTCTTGCGCTTTTTCATTATCACTGAAAAAAGAAATATGTGTAAATATATTAAATTACACAAAGTAATCGAAAAAAAATCTAATTAAAACAGGTTTTGGAATATATTTTGAGTGATTAGTCACTCAAAAGGTTTTAAAAATATAACCTAACTAGTTTACAATTGTTTGCTTTCTTTAAAACACAAATTTACACTAAATAAGATCATCAAAACACGTTTACACCCTGTATGTTACTTTTTGACATATGTACGATGCTTGTTTGTCTGTAACATAATAAATTCATAAACAAGGTCATTTAAAATCAAACCTCCATTGACTGTATGTGACCTATTTTAAATATTTTCAAAAGTTTAGAACATATATGGAAATCTTGCAAAATGAAGATGAAGAACTACTCTAGAGAATAAATTTGCCGAAATTACTTCTAATACAGTTTTGATACAACCATAAATCTATCAAAATTGTCAAAAGTTGTTATACGGTCCGTCCCAAACCCTTTTTTCAGTGCGTCACTAAATGTGACGTCATATAGGATTTTAAGAATGTCGAAAATTATTGCTTGATATTTTAGTTAAATCTGACAGTTGCAGGAACGTAATCGACTAAATGTGAAAAGGTTATTTTTTTAAATAGGTATGTAGTCTTTGTCCTTTCTCGGTATATCTCGGCATATTTAAATTATTTTTATGACAATAAATACAAAATTAAATTTTTACTGTAAAATGTCTGAAAATACTAACCTGGAATGACAATTATCATTTTATCAGTTGACATTGTGAAAGTATTGTCAAGATCAAGATAATCTGTGTCAAATTATATTTATGCGCATCATTGATTGGATATCTATTTAGCGTATTCTAAACTCCAACCAATTATAGATCCGTAAGTAGAATTCGCGGGGCCCGCGTAGCGCAAGCGGTAGTGTGCTTGCCTCGCATGCCGGTGGTCGTGAGTTCGAATCCTACCGCCGGCAAGAACAACTAGGCATTTTTAAAATGTCTATAGGCCCCAGGTCGACTCAGCCTGAATAAAATGAGTACCTTGGGTAAAACCAGGGGTAATAATAGGCGGTTGAAGCGTAGCACTGGCCATGTTACCTTCCTTGTATACCGTAGGCCCTAGATATAGCAGACTACCCTGCTATACTCCCAAAGCCGCGTGCGGTATAAAACGGGAGACTATTATTATTATAAGTAGAATTCGCTTTAATATGCAAATACTCGTGAACGATACATAATTTTCTATGTTCTATGTATAATAATCACAGACTCACGTCTTTTTCTGTCACTTCCAGCTTTATGCATTAGAGAGAATTCGATCAACTATGACGCACTGAAAAAAGGGTTTGGGACGGACCGTAGGAACATTTACAAGAACACACTGAACAAATTTCAAGAGCATTTGCCAAATTCGAAGAAGGTTTGGCACTAAGACAAGTTGCTGCAGATTTGAACGTGAGCCATATGTGCATATGGAAAATGAAAGATGGGGTCATTTTCAATCTATGGCACGGTTGGGTGATTCAAGAGGGCTGAAGATCTTTACAGAGAAACAAGGTGAGGTGTTAGTAGATTATCTTAGAGAATCCTTTTGCCACACCTCGAAAAGCTAGCGAGAAACAGCGTGTCTTGGCAGCATTCGCACTGCACGTAGTAGGTTTAAAGTAATTGAATTGGTAAATTGTGGAATAATGACACTTATCTCCACTCTGGAATTTCACTCTCCACTTCATAAAAATCGAATTGGCACGTAACTGACTATTATTATTATATCTAAAGTCTGATCGGTTGACTAAATAGAAAAAATTTCTTAAAATATTGGTTGGTGTCACTTTCTTGATTTTAAGTACTCGAGGCACTGTACTTAGTTTTTTTGATTTCGTGTCTACATATTACTTAACATATTATCATATTTAACTTTTCTCCTATATTAATAAATACTACCTAATTTTTGGGTTGATAGAATATATAAATATGGAAACTGTAATACTAAACACAAATCTAGAGAAATCTAGAAAAGAATTTACCAAAATAGCAGTCAACAATATCAATAATAAAAAAAAAACACAAACCTTAATTTTTCATCGATTTCTGTTAATATAGGCTTTGGTTTCTCTTGAACTCTATTCACATCCTCGTGCAGACCCTCCAATAAGTAGCGTAAAAACTCCTGCGCATCCTGTTGCGCATAACCCATAAATCGAGGAGCAAATCGTTGTATTTGTCCCTTCAATGAAGCGGTGTTGACTACTCGATCGGATGCATCTTCTGACCACAATTCCTTAATCACCTCTGCAAATGCTGCAAAAAGTACTTTTGTCAAATAACAATAATAATACGTTAAAGGAATAGGTTAGAGATTTTTCCGAAAGTTTTGAGGGGTTAAGACAATGGGAGGTTCTGGTACATCTTTTAACATAGCAGCTGTGTAAGATGCCGATTCATACAAAAGGAGATATTACTAGCGAACAGATGTAACTTTAGATTAGACAAACATCTAAAGAACAGAAATTTAAGCTAAAAATTGAAACTAATGGTATATAAGACACTCATCCAACCAGTGCTGAAATACGGGTCGCAAATATGGACCATTTGTAAAGCAGATGCAAATCATTGACTCAAAAGATAGATCTTTAGAAGAACATTTTTCTGCGAAAACGGCACCTGGAGTGATCAAAGTGATCTACCTTTGAGTGCTATAAGAAATATATGACAGACACAAAAAAGAGACTAAATTAAAACTCTCAAAAGCAATGAAAACTATCCTCTAGACGAATACTATTATCAATGACTGTGTAAAATGAGCAGGCCAAGACTAAGGTGGAAAGGTAGTGAAGACGAGGACGCGAAGATTGGAGTGGAAAATTGGAAACGGTTGGTAATGGGCAGGAATAACTGGTGAAAGGGAGGCTCAACTACAGTTGTAAAACCACTGATGATGATGAATAATAAAAAAGAAAATATTAAATATGTAAGGCATGTTAGAACATTAAAATAGATGCAATAGAGAATTACTGGTACGAAATCGAGCACGTTCTGAATAATTTTTTTTTATATTATTGAAGATTCCCACATAGCCAGAATCATTATTTATATTATTAAAAAAAGGATTTAACAGGGATTATACTCTTCTCGCCCAGGGGTCGATCAGGGCATTTTAATTGACAACACAAGGTACACTACAACAACTACTACTACTACATAAATATACTGAGTTCCTCAAACATAGCGGCAGATTCACTAGGCAATGGCTCGCAGAATTCTTTTCTGACATCCTTCAAACGCGAAACGTCCCCCACCAACTCAAAAATGCAAAACTCGTCGCCATTTTAAAACCAGGGAAAAGTAATAATTCACCGAAAAACTACCGCCCCATCGCACTCTTAAGTATGGTGTACAAATTGTTCGAAAGACTGTTGTATAATAGAATCAGCAAAACCATATTCCAACACTTACCAGTGGAACAGCCAGGATTTCGGCCAAACCGCAGCTGCACAGACCAGGTACGCGCCCTGACCAATTATGTGGAATCAAACTTTCAAAAGCAATCTAAAACAACCGCTGTCTTCATCGATCTATCTGCTGCTTATGACACTGTGTGGCGACAAGGGGCAATATATAAATTAATGCGAATAATCCCATGCAGAAAGACCACTGAGGTTATTAACGCCATGCTATCCAACAGATGCTTTAAAGCTTTATTGGGAGACAAGACTAGTACCCAAAGAAAACTGAATAATGGACTTCCACAAGGATCCGTGCTGGCTCCCATGCTTTTCAGCCTCTACATAGCAGACATGCCAGAATCCACATCAAAAAAGTTTGGATACGCAGACGACTGGACGCTTGCCGCAAGTCATAAAGAATTCGAGGTCACTGAACGCATTCTAACAAACGATTTAAATGCCCTAGGGAATTATTTCCGCAAATGGAGATTGCAACCCAATCCAACTAAGACAGAAGTGTCCTGCTTCCATTTGTACAACAAGATGGCCAACTATCAACCTCAAATCAATTTTGGGGATAGACTCCTTAAATATAATAAACATCCAAAATACTTAGGTGTTACACTTGACAGAACGCTGAACTTTAAAGAGCATCTTACTAAGACTAAAACTCCGAACTCGTAACAACATCCTGCAAAAGCTCTGCGGCACTACATGGGGCTCCTCAGCACCCACACTTAGATCGACAGCATTAGGACTGGTATACCCCGTAGCGGAATACTGTGCACCAGTATGGATAAACAGTCCACATACTCACCGTGTTGATGTCCAACTCAACCAAGCCATGCGAACTATATCGGGCACAATCAAGGCCACGCCCACTTACTGGTTACCAGCTTTGAGTCATATAGCTCCACCACCCATCCGCCGGGAACATGCCCTTGTCAGAGAATTTACAAAAATTAATACTGATCCTGAGCTTCGCTCCCATGTCGGAACTTCCGCCAGAGACATAAATAGGCTCCGTTCAAGACACCCGCCTCTAAAAACAGCAAAAAGGCTAGTAGATCAAAACTTTAATGTAACTGAACGGTGGAGAGAACAATGGGAGAATAACGCTGCACCAGCTAACTGGAACATGCCATGTATTACAAGCAAACCTGAGGGTTTCAACCAACCGAGACGAATTTGGACCACACTCAATAGAATAAGGACGAACTGTGGCAGATGTTCCGACTCACTTTTTAGATGGGAAAAATACAATCACCAAATTGCGACTGCGGCGCCGAAAGGCAAATAGTAAAACACATGGTAGAGGAATGACCGATTAGATCCTATAACGGCAACCCTTCAGATTTCCTGGCTGCTACAAAAGAGTCAATCGAATATATTTATAATCTAGATGTTTGTTTGTAGAATAATATTTTTGTAATTTATATAATTTATATTATATGTATATATATGAACCTGTGATGTAGCCATATGCTAAATATCTCTTATAGTTTTTAAACTTGCTATTAACAAGAGCTTATAAGCTACAAAAATGTCCATATCATTTACATAGAATAGAATGTATTATAAATTTAAATTTAAATGATGTATATTTTATTCCCTACCTTTTATGAGAGCTCCTTTCATGCTAGATATGCTCGTGTTAATGTCCTTCATGTACCCGTCTTTCTTTAAATACTCCAACAACCACCTGGTGTTCGACAGACATTGGATTACACTATTCATAAAACACGTATTTCCGATGTTTTTGAGCCCGTTGAGGCCCAAGCATTTTTGGGAGGTACACTCTGAAGGTCTGATGGTGGCGTAACTGTTAAGAACCCGTTCACCACTACTATCATCATCCGAATAATCTCGGATACGGTGGTTCTCTCTTTCGCTTGAACGGCGTGATAAGGAATTCGAGTTAAGGCTATTCGCTATGGAATTGGATGGAGAGATTGCTGTTCTTGTAACTTTTGGAGATGTCGACAGATCCTACAAAATAAATAATAAGTGTATTTTAATATTCAATCTGATAACTAGAATGTATCCACATGCACCCTCTAATATTATATCCCGCACAAAAAATGACAAACTTGAAACTAAAGAGCATTAAGATTTGATCCAATTCAAACACACCATAACTCAGCACACATCTTATACTACAAACATAAAAAGATCTTATGCATACCATGACTACAACATTTTACACAAAAATTAACATAGTCAAGACAAGTCACTCAGAGGAAAAATAACGGACAGATATAACGTTTGAAACCGGTTATATATATTTATTAGACTCAGATAAAGAACGGGAAGAGAAAGATAAATATGTCATATTTCGAAAAATAACAATTTGATATCGAATGATGTAGGTCGAATAATTTAATCGTCAAAATGCAATTCTATAGTAACTCTATAGACACATGACACTTTTGGAAATAAGTCATAAATATTTTACAAGTAGGAAAATTCAGAAGGTCTTGTTATCTTACTTAAATGCTAATCCATTCCAAATATTAAGTTCTTCAAATCTCCAACCCCTCAAATTCTTTTTTTCATATGTTATATATGTTTCATATGTTCCTTGAGCACAGAACTTAATAAATGTTCATATGATAGATGAAAAAACTTTATATCTACGAAAGTGGTAAAACAAATCTGATCTAAAGGAATGTCTCATCTTTTGTCAGCCCACATATACATGGGTCTTCTTTTTGATTTATGGGCATAACCAAAACATGAGAACACACACAAGTAGATGTTTTAATAATTTTAATATTGATTTCATTTAATTGCAATTTAAGTATTTTTTAAGAAGTATATTTCTGATACAAGGTATTGCCGTAGTGTATTGAAACGTGGTACTTATGTTTCTCTTGGTCCAAGGAAACACTTTTTAATATGGGACCAATAGGTTGAAGATCAAGAAAGTTCCGGATAACTCAGGATAGATATGAAGTTTTGAAACTGGGTGTATTTCAAATCCTAGGCCACAGAGTACAGAATTTGCAAAAACACTTGTTAGGTATCGTCTAATTGCAACAGATCCAGAAACGATTAAGGTCTAGTATTCTGCCAGTTAAAACAAGTTGGTACGTGCTTAATTCGCTATGAGGTCTTTCCATTTCTCATACATTGTTTTATGATATCGACTAATCTATCTGATTATCATTCCAAATTGTCTTCACTGCTTTTTCCTTCAGCATTTTCATCCTTTGTAAATGTTTTATGTAAAACAGTTTTAATTTTACGATTCATTCGCATCTTTTATTTTCCACATTTCCGTATATTTTTAATAATTCCCATTTTTCTTTATTGTGAATGTCCATGTTACCAAACCTATATTTACTACAAATCGACCATCTGTTTCAAATATTTAAATCTCAGAATTGCTCGAAACTTTCGTTTTTTAACATTATTCTTGTAGTTAACCTCTAGGTACTTCTGTTCAATTCTGCAAATATTGGCCGAGTGGATTGGTTATACTATTCTGAGAATCTATGCCGATTTGTTGCGGAACTGTCACTTCTTACTGTCTTTGGTCAGTTGCTGAAATGACAACCCAGAAAGTTCATGATATAACCGCCGCAGATTACTAGAGAGTATTTTTTGATGCCCCAGGTATAATGCATGTAAGCCTTCTAGATGCCTAATGCACTATATATCACCATAATCAATCTAATTACAAAAATTGCTTCTGAAATATTTGAGTAATTCAAATTTTGGCAGTTTACTTCATTCAGACACCCGGTTATTTCTATTTTTGTCATCAAAGATAGATTGCGCCTGCTTGTGTCCACTCCAGAATGGAAAAGTGGCTGCATAGCCTGTTTTTTCTTTTGATTGTTATTTTACGTGTGTGCATCTCCTACCCCTATATCTGAGAAGCTCCAAGTAGAGAGAAACATGTCATAGTATAAAATTTTAGCATACAATTTTTGACCAAAATGATAAGGCATTCATACCTTCTATATAATATTGGGCACGAAAAACGGGCACCCTTATGATTTCTGACGAATTGTTCTTTTTGATTTTTTTCGGTTCTTTTTAGAAATTTAGCAAACAATGACCATGGTTTAGCAGAAATCCCTAAGATAGTTTTTAATGAGAAATGTCTTTTAAATTGAATTTTCCAGATATTAGAAAATCTGAATAATATTGTCGTTATCATTTTACCCTTACTTTAGTGTTACAAGAAGGCTGTCGTACTTTCAATTGTTTTTACTACGGCATTTGTTTGTTGATGTCAAAAGTGTTTATTATTATTGTGTTTGTGTCAATTGTTGGTAATTTCAAGATGTTTTTGAGTGTAGAAATCGTTGCTTTTATTCAGGATCTAAGAAGTAAAGTTTACATAGCTAACAGATATGGTTTCACGCAGAAGAGTGCAACATGTCTTTGGTCGTTTGATAGACAGGAGCTTACACTCGACGTCCTAGAACAGGTACCCAGATAAGAACTACTAATTGGAACGACCGTTTTATGGTGTTTTCAGTACTAAGAACTCGTCATTCAAGTGCTATAGAGGTTAGAAATAGTCTTCAATATTATTTCAACTTAAATGATAGTGAATGACCGTGAGAAGATGTGAGTGGTTAAGGTGAGCGGTTAAGTGAGGCTAATTTAAATGCTCGACCAGTCACTACAGGACCCGAACTTTCCAGGGAAACATCATGTAGTTAGATTACATTTCGATAAGGAGCAACGCGATTTTGTCTACCTTCCCCGGATAATCGCGAAATAGTCTGGAGAGGAAATGGTGAAAGATATGCCCAGTGCACTTTTAGCCCTAGAGTAAGTTTTTAAAGGAGTCCAATTTTGGTATGGGGTGCTATAACTTCGGAGGAGCTTACAGAATTGTACGTTGTCCCTAGGGGATCTCGGACCGCTGGTAGGTACATAAATGAGATACTGCAAAACTATGTTGTCCCATATGCACCATTTATTGGAGAAAACAGTCCCGATTTAAGTTCCTTGGAGCATGTTTGGGACAATCTTCGTAGAAGTATTCGAAGTCGTATACCTACTCATCTTACCTTAGGTCAGCTCAGGCTTTTTTAGAGGAATGGGAAGAAGAAAGAATGAATAGCAAATTTAATTACCAGTATTATCTAATTCTCTGGTGACTATTCTTTCATATTTACTTTGTCTTCTTCTCACAGTAGTCTTACAGGTTTAATAGCTTTACACTTGTTTTCTATTTTTGTTCTACCACAACTGGTATAAGCTGTTTCATTTGTATTTCTATCATAAAGTAATCTGGGTCTGCATCTGATCCTCTGTATGTTCTTAAGTCCTTTATGATTTTTTCGATGTCTTTTTTGACGAACACATGATCGATGGTTGCTTGGTATATTCTTTTATGTTGGAAGTACATGCTCATAATGATCATATTTCTTCTTTTGCGAAATCTATTAGGAAGTGATAATTTTCGTTCTCTATTTCATGCAGACTATATGTTTCTATGGTTGATACGTATATTCCTATTTTTGCATTATCATCACCTAGCACTATTTTTATCATCATTATTCTGGCTTTACAACCCTGCTTGTATCCTAGCCTCCTCAAGAATGTCTCTCCAGTGGTCCCTATTCATGGTCTTTCTCCATCAAGCACTATTTTTGCAACGTTAAGAGTACGTTGGGGACGAATGGAGAGAAACTGTTGACGAGATTAGTAGCCACGCAGGGCTATTAACAGCTATGTCTCATAGTTTTAAATTTATTGAGCAAGGAGCTGATAAAGGGATGAAGTAGTCGTACATTTGGTTTATCTCCAACAGATCGATGACCTATAACAAGGCCATCAACACATTACACTTGCTACAACATCAGTGGGGCCACACACATAATTGAACGAATCTTACGCAAACGCAATAGATTACTACGATTACCGCTCAGAAATACCAAGGACATCTTTCTATTAGAAGATCCAGGAGTTTACAGAATAACCTGCGGAACTCTTAACCAAAAACAAATAGTAAAAAACTAATCAAGAATACCTCAGCTCTTGCAAATAGATCACAGCCATTCTAATCTTGATAGAGACCATTCTCAACGATAGAGATGATGCACTAAACGTCCACTCAACAAGAAATCATTAGATGCTAATGATGTATAATTCTCGGCACCTCAAATATATGTAATAAATCTAAGAAAATTAATACGAATCTTTTTTATTAAAAGGAAAATAACTTCCATTGAACACTCGGAAATATCCACCGAAGATTAATAGGAGTAACATGAATTACAACAAGGATTTACATCTGTAATATACTAGAATCTCACTTTCTTATCAGAAAATGTAGATTGATTGAACGACCCAATATAATCTAATCTCATTATTGTCCTTATCAAAACTTAATATGATTACAAAATTATGACACCTTTTGTAGGTTAAAATTGTGTCATACATGTACGTTAGAAAACTTGTGTTTACTATATAGAACAAACTAAAAACCACACATAATATTGTTAATAGTATTTTTGTTAGTAATCACTGAGGGTCGAGCAAAGGTTAAAACTAAAAACGATTTAATAAAAACGTACCATTTTATACATATAATAAAAGGAAGAATTACCACCTTTCAGTTGAAAACCATTCTGTACGTGGAAATTATCAATTAAACCGATCAAAAATCCATACAAAATCACTAGGAACATGAGTGTCCAAATGATAATCAATAAGGAGTCGAACGTCATTTTTTTCTATAAATATTCCCTAACCTAATTTTTATTTTAACAAATCTACCTTTTTCCACTTTTTTATACACCTTCGATATAAACAAAAGACCATATTACGAAATATCACGAGTATTCCTCACACATTTTCATTCAAAAATTGATTTCTAAACTAAAATTAATATTCGCAATTATACACTAAACAAAAATTATCACAGATTATCAATTATTGTTTGATTGAAGGAGATATCGAAGAATCTATTAAATCGGTCCATTTATTTAAAAAATATTTGTATTTTATTCAGAAAATAA